TTTAATACCTACCATAATCTTTCTGTGCAAAGAATGTGTCTGCAAAATTTTTTGTCTTAGAAAACATCTCTGAATAAATGCTTTTCTTTCCACAGATGAACACTTTGAATTTGATTGTGACAGGTGACTGGAGACACAAACATGAAAAATTTTAAGATGGTTTTTGTGAGCCTTTGTATTACTAATTTGTACATAAAAACTTATTCCATACTCAATTTTTATCTATCACATTTCTCTCTATATATATGCATATAAAAATATAATATTATTTTCCAAGCATTAAATTAATATTGAAATATAAGACTGTATGAAGTTTAGGAATAATATTTTTTTTTCCAGATTGTATTGTCACATATCCATCAGCACTGATTCTGCTAGTAAGTGCTTGAAGGAGAAGAATACTCCTGTTTGGAGCTGATTAATGCTCCATGTTGCAAACCAGACATTGCTGAATGAAAGAAGGCTTTCCCTCCCTGTGACCAGATAGAAAATTCTGCCTGCATGAGAAAATGTTGGCTCTTTTATTTCTCCTGAAAACAGGTACAACTCCCACCAATTTATCCAATTCTTCCTGGTAACAGTTGACAGGAAGACTCAGGCCTCAATTTTGAATCAGTTTGTTTCAATGAATTGTAAAACAATACTTCAAATTAAGATTATTATAAAATTTAATATTTTAATATTATTATTATTTTAAATATATTATTACAATAATTACAGGATGTATTATAAAGACCCTGAGCATCCACTAAAAAACACTAGCTTTTAGTAGAACTAAAAGTCAGTAGCTAACTGAAGAAGCATAGTGCAGTAGGGAGAATGAAGCAGCAGGGTGCATAAAAGGGATGATAAATGTTTCAGTGATGTTTGTAAGGGTATGTACTGAAGTATTCAGTATGATATAATGGCTTTCAGTAACTGATATAATGGAATTCAGTAATGAAAGTGACTGCAATTAGAGAGCCTTTTGACCACAATTCCCACATCACCTGTATGAAGTGGGTCTCTTTGGCTGCCTTGTTACCAGGCTGCACTGTGGTACTTTTGTTGATATGCACAGCCTTCACAGCTGTACACAAGGGAAATTGCACAGGATTTTTTTTTTTTGTCATTGAAATAGTAACATTCAGTATGCTGAGATACAGAATTCAGCTTCTTCATGTTGTGAAACATGCATCTTCCTGTTCTGTGATGAGAAAGGTCACACTTTTGTCCATTTTACTCTAAAATTCACTGTACAAATATAATGGGATGAAAAGGACAGAAGTACAAACCCACCATTGTAGTGCATTTTAAAATTAAAACTTCAGGAGCAGACCCCATGGAAATCCAGAGTTAGTGTCAACAGTTTGGAACTCTTTGGAATAGAATTAGCTCTCTGCTATGTGAACACAGCATGCATATTAAATGCAGCATCCTATAGTGCTATTGTCATGCCTGCTGGATGGATTAAAAGAAAATGAAAATTCCTCCTTCCGCTGCTGGTGACTGATTTGTTGCACTCCTTAGTGTTGGGGAGATGTTTTATGTAAGACTTAACTTTGACGTGCTGTAAAATGGAAACTGCTGCAGGAACAACAATTTTGACTTCTGTACATTTTCAGTCTTGGTAATACAGTCCTGAAGCAGAGCTCATTTTTGTACCCAGCTCCCCTACTAACATAAAGGAAAAAAATAATTTAAACGGTCTTGGCAGCTCTAGGAAGGTACCAGGAAAAAGGTGTGGTCTTTATTAATTTAATATAGTGGCTTAAGTCTTATTTCATTATTCAGAGATCCCCCTTGCACATCTCCTGTGCAGACATTGAACAGATCCAACCCTGCTGAGGGAACAGCATAACTCTAATTCCAATACCAGAATGGCTACTGGTAAGTGATATTTTTATTCCTTTAATTGAAGCCATGGCCAACAGGAACCAAATTCTAGATGAAGCATGGAAAATGCTGCCTGTGGGCCCCTAGGTAAGTGCTCCAGTACATGCATATTTCCTTCAGTACTAGGAGATTATCTTGTATAACCAAGGGAAAAACCTTCAGCACACCTGAAACATGCTCCAAGTCCATGAAGGGACTTGTTCTGCAAAATCTGACAAGCTCAACAAGACATACACTGCAGAGCCACTGGCCATTTCCCTGGACTTTACAGCTATTTCCACTATTTATTCTACCAGAAAGCACCCTTTGAGACCAGACCAGCAGACTGGAAGCTGTTCTCCACCAGTGAGCTGGGGAGGGATGCAGATGTGAGCTGGAATAGCTCTGGGAAGCTGAGCACCATTTGCTCACAGAGGAAGCACTCACTTTTCAGAGCACAGGCATCTTTGCTGTGTTAGTGTTCAGGGAGGAAATCTTCTTCCATCCTGGATGCATGATGTACTCCATAACGTATGCAGTGGAAAACAGTTGAAGCATTTTACTACAGCTGGCAGGAAAAAGAGTCCACATGTTTGAGCATTTTGGGGGATTTAAGTTTTTGGCTAATGTGCTGCACTATGAATGCTTGCACTCACAGGACGAGCTGCTGGGCACATGCTGAGCGAAGTTTCACTTGGCTACCAAGAAAAAAGGAAGAGAGGACAAACTCCAGTACGGTTTATTGCAGTCAAATAACTTTAAGGCTGCATTTTGATGCAAACTCTGACCTGGGATGCTGTGACACCATCTGTGAAGGGAGCTGTCCTGCTTGCCCCCTGCTACCCACTTCGGTGCCTGAAGTCAGCCGCTCATGGTGGTCAGAGACAGAACTGGCTTGGGAAAATGATGTGCCTGGAAAACAATCCCTTTGTTGTTTACTGGGGTACTTTGCAGGCAGATCACTTCACTCATCTGCTCCCCTGGAAGGGTTCAGAAATGTTTGTCCTGGCACACAGGCAGCAGAGGAGGTGGGGGAGACAGGGTTGTTGGTCCCCACATGCACGGCCAGTTTAACATACTTGCACTACAGTCCAAATAAAAACCCAAACCGCATGCTGGGCACAAATGAGAACTTGGGACTGGGTTTCTGCACTTTTCCCTTCCTGCCTTGCTTGGCTCCCAGTGTTGCAAATCGCTGGCATGTGCCATTGAAGTGGATGCACAGATTTCCCCGCTTTGCCGAGCTCCGGGAACGCCAGGGCACACCAGCCCTAACTGGGTCAGAGACTTTCTTTGTACAAGGGAGCTGAGCTGCTGGGAAACCTCGCAGAGCCATGAAGCAGCCTCTCACACATGCAGTGGGGGGGACAGGGTGAGGAGGGGGAGCGGATGAAGTGGGGCTCAGCTTCCACCACACTTGATTCCCTGCCAGCATAAGCTTCCTTCCAGGGCTTACAGGCACGGCACAAGCCCGAGTAAAGCCCCAGCTGCTCCCACGGCTGCCAGGGCTAAGCACCCTGGAATCAGAGCGTGGCCACCAAGCCCGGCATCTGTCACTCCGATCTCCTCTGCGTTCGGGAAACGGGGGGAGAGTGAACAAGAGACAAATGAGCCTATTAGCATTTATTATTTCTATTATTATAGCACCTCAGTGCCTAGTTGTGGGCCAAAATGTCATTCTATTAGCACTGTGAAAACCAGAGCCAAACTACTGTAGTCCCTGCCCCAGAGGGCTTACAATCTTCTTTTTCAAACACGGGTACAAAGAGATGGAGGGGGGTAAAAGGGAGCAGTGACAAAATGTTGATCACTGTGATGGAAAGTGTTGATTTTCTGCTAAGAACCATCAGCTTTTAAATGCTTAGTTTGATTTAGATATTCCCCACACAGTCAATATTTTGTAGTTCTCATGAAAAACAATCAAGAAATCACACAGAACTTCATGTTATATTCAGTGAAAAACATTTTGCAAGAAACACACACAGGGTTATTTTAAAAAAATATTGTTTAGTTTGTATCTTCTAAGCAGGTATCTGAATATGTTTAAAAGTCTACACATGCAGTGTACAAAAAAAAAGTTAGATTTTTAACCAAATCTTTTGGCTCATTCCTTTATTCAATTTGCACTCTTGCAAAGAAGAGATACCCTTTAATTAAATTTTTGATGAAAAAATAGAAGTGATTTCATAGCAACTGCTTTTCTCGACACACTTGTGTTTTCCCTGTGCTCATGATTTAAAACACAATCTAAATAGAAATTGTGGGTTACATACAGGGATAGACACCAACTGTGTATTTAGGAAATCTATGTAACTGATTTTACAGGCTTTTCTGATCAAAGAGTGTGATTACAACGTTGTGCAAGAAGGGCATGTGATTTACAATTTTTTGCAAGCATATCTTATGTCCGTATTTTTAATAACTTGCCTGTAAGGGACAAAATCCTTTTGTTCTGCTTGAAGTTTCCTTAAAATCAGCTCTTTGACACTGTGCTCTATTCTGCTGGCCTCCTACTGCTGTGTGTCATAGTTAATACTGTGAATAACTCAGCTTGAGTTCAATATTCCTGGTTTTAACTATAAGTACTCTATGGTAGTAATTGTTTGCAGGTTTGAGTATCTTACAGAGGCCTACAGGACAGTATGATTTATGCCCATGCAGAGGGACGAAGGGAAACAAAACCAGCTGGACAGTTTGTAAAACAATTAAACACTTTCCATGGTCAGCTCTGCTATTTGCCATTTGGATAGCCCCGACTGGAATCACCTAAGAAAAACCATTACCTGAAAACAGCTTCCAATATTAGTTTTCTTCTCTCTATGCATTCTCTAAGTTGCTGTAAACATCCAGGACATCCATATATATACACATACACCCCTGGGGATGTGTGTGTATACATGCATGGACACCCACACATACACCCCTGGGGATGTGTGTGTATACATGCATGGACACCCACAGGTGTATATATACACCTATATATATATATATATTATATATAAGTATATATATACACACATATATACACACACAGACGTGTATATATATATGGATACAGAGCTATGATGTCATCAGGAAACAACAATGCCATTTTTATTGCATTCTTAAGTATCGTGGAACAAGGGTATTATTATAGGCACATATAAAAAAGATACTGCTGAAAGAGATACATATTAAAAAGGAAACACGATTCTTAGAGGTCTAAAAATCTCCCTATGCCTTCCCACATGGTAATAAATTTATAAAAAATATTTGACACAGAAAATCTCCACAGAAATCATCCTGCTGAAATCACGTACCCTTCCAAGACACCCATCTTGCAAACGTTACATGGTTCAGGAGGGCAAGCTCCGCACAATGAGTATTTAATTCTCGTCGTCCCGTCGGTAGTGAATAGTTTGTATTTCCTGAGCTATGAACATGGCCATCTCTCTCGTGCCTGCAGCAATCACTCGGCAGGACATAAGATCCAGAGGTCCCCCTGAGGACAAGAGGATTAATGAGAAGTGTCTTAAATATAAGCCATGCTGTAATTAGATAGGGTCAGAAACACAAAACAACTTCATATGTAGCTTCTTTTGGGGTGGGAAGGACAATTCAACAACTCCTACACGGAAATTCCAGCAAAAAATTATTTTATAAAATTCTAGATACAGAGCCAAAGAATGCAAGAGGAGCAGGGGATGCCTAGATTTTTTCAGTAGCCAATAATAAATGCAATAAATAAATGCAACATTCCCCTCTTCTAGCAACGGGACAGAAATTCAGAAGTTCATTCAGCATACCCTTCTTAATCCACAGATCTTTCCACAGTATCCAGGTACTGATCACCAGTGAACCATTACTTTGAGATGTGCACCATCTAAATTAAATAATAATCTGGAGATTGTGCTGCCTTTTACTCCCCCTGAGTAGTTTCTAGTCATGTATGTCCAAACTGGTACCTCAGAGTCCTCCTTTCTCGGGAGGATGTCTCTGCTGAAATCTAATTGGAATGTCTGAGTGTACCTGCTAATCTCCTGGGCTGGTTCCTTACTGTAAGTACAAGGCTTTAAGGGAATTACTCAAAGTCTTGGAAATACAGTTTGACTCAGAAGACCTTTGATGTGATGAAACCTCCTGCTGGAATTACATCAGTGTGTTCTGAATAACCAGCCTGATCCCAGTGGAGAGCACAGACCTTTCTACAGGATATCTCTAGAAACGAGGTAGAGCCTCAGGGGCGGCACTGGACTGAGGTACCCCGAGGCAGCCACTCACTCAGTCCCCCAACAGTCAGTGGAAAAGCAAGGGCATTTTGCTCACCTGAAGTGTCTATCACAGTGCCACCTGCCTCTCTGATGATGACAGTGGCCGCTGCCAGGTCCCAGCAGTGCAACCCAAACTGGTAATAGGCGTCTGCAGCGCCGGACGCCAAGTGGCACAGGGCCAGCGTCGAGCTCCCAATGACACGGACCCTACACCCCACAGCAACACAAAGAAGAAAATGCTTTTGACTTCAGCCTATGTATACAACACACTTGTTGGAGTAATTTTTTTTTTTTTAATTACTTTTTAAAATGACTTTTTGGTCACAAATGTGAGACATATGCTGTACATACGCTTACCCATGTGCTTGGGCCTTGAGCAATCTCTCAATGTTACCAAGGAACAATTTCAATGTTGCAGGGTCACGTTTTGGACCAATTTCTGTTAAAATTAAGGCCTTCGAGATATCTGCAATGGTAGGAAGATGTTTCCATTAATTCAACAGCTTCCAGGTAGGTTCCATAAATTTGTTTTTAAATTATACACTAATGGACTATTCACACAAAAATAATTTTTATGTCCCTTTTTCTACTTTCTCATAAAGTGACAACTTTGCATAGAAATTCAAGACTAGGTTTCTCCTATCAAATGGTCTGTTCTAAACACACTTAAAAAAACAAAACAGGAGGATTAAAACCAAGAATGCATTCTTACATTCCTTTTCTTTTCACACATTGTTTTATTTCATTGACCAGTTGCCTTTTGGCAAATTCACTAATACTAGCAGTCAACTAAAAATAATCCAGAAATCTAGCAACTGCTAATGATGTTAATCTATCGATATTTGAAAACAGAATGGCTTTTGAATAGGGAATTTGAATGTAATTTGTTAACCAATTATAAACATTTGGGAATCCAGTAGGAGGAAAGCAAAGTTTCTCTCTAAATCACCAGTCACCTAGTAATAGCTCATTCTGGCATTTCAAAGACTGAAGACACTTTATGACTGAGAAAAAAACCCTTCTTATGACAAATTAAAGCAGTATTTTTAATAATAATAATACTAATAATAATAATCTGTAAATGTTCTATTTGTCTTGTGTTCAGCAAAGGCAATGCTGTCCTAGAGCAGATGGAGATACCAGCCTTGTGCAGAGTCAAAGGAGAGACTCACAGTGACTTGAGAGGTGTTGAAGCAGTCCTCATGTGAGATCTGAATACTGCCAGGCTATAACAAGCGTGTGCCAATGTAGGTGGAGATGGTTGATCATATTCCAAGTGTCCCTGCTCCTGCTGTGCCAGGTGAACTCAGAGGAGTTAAAGGGATGACAAAACTCAAAGGTTTAGTGGTTGAGAACTCACTGAGTGGGCTGTGTCCACTGCTAGGTGTCACCTCCTACTCTGGGCTAAAGGGTAGGAGGCATTCATTCAGGTAGGAAACCTCTGCCTGGTTCTTACAGCTACCTGCATAAGCTGAAAGTTCTCTGCACAAGGAGCAAGGAGGTTTTCAAAAGCAAATTAGGCTGGAGTGAGGCATCATTTAATTAAACAAGCTACCAAAGAATTTAGTATTGCAGATGAACCTTATGGATTCAAGCAATATGGTAAAATAGTTGGTGAGTAACAGATACGTAATTAGATTTAAAGTTACAGGGTGTCACAAATACCAACTGTAGGAACATGTATTCAACTGCTTCTTTTTAAATTATTGCTTTAAAACAGAAAAACGCCAATCCAGGCATGCTCTAGGGTATTTGTTGCTTAGCCACTACTAAAAATTCTGGATGGTGAAAGCAATCTGCCTTAGATTATTTGCCATAACAGACCCAATTTATAATCAGAGAACATTTAATGCCCATCTCATTGCTGAAATACACCAAGCATGCACACCATGCCATTCATGGTTAGGTTGTGACTGGGACAGTTATTCTTTTGAGTTATTAAAAATACTTCTAATGCAGAGACAGATCTCAATTTTCCTCTAGGCTATAGCTGGAAATTGGATGAACAGACTAAAGCAACTAAGAGGGAGGTCTCTGCTTAGAAAAAGGAGCTGACTGATCACAAGACACTATGAGATTTTGGGATTTCAAGATATGAGATAAAATTTACTGACTATTCCTCAGTCTGATAGAGGTAAAAAAAAAAAAAAATAAAAGGCACGCTCGATAGAAAAGATTTAACGGTGATGTGGATAAAGAGGAAAAGACCAGTTCTGTTGAACACAGAAGATTAAAAAAAGAAAATACATTTACAGTATTAGCACATGTAAGGCCTGACGTGAATCTAAGCATGAGAAGAAAGTATCACTCAAGATAACAGGGAAGATGGATCCTTCATTTAAGTGTATCATAACTGCTTGAGTTGTCCATGGTGGACTCCCATACCAAATCTCTACAAAAATGGGTTTGCCTGAGCTGTGATTTCAGATTATTAAATCTGAACTATGAATGTATAAGTGTAGATCAACATCATACAACAACCACATTTCCTGAAAACAAATGGCAGCAAGTGACATGAGAGTTTAGATCTCAAACATGTCATGGTCACTTCAGTTCCATTGGCAGGTAGAGGGATACACAAATCTCTCTTCCAGGGTTGGTTTATCTCACTGAAGCCACAGCCCTTACAGAGCAACTGTGATTTAAAACACTCATAATATCAGCAGAAGTGAGATTAAAGCAGATCCAGCTTCACTGGTGAAAATTTCCCACCACAAAATGATGTATCTCAAAACAAAAGAAAATTTCAAAGCATTTGGAAGGGCGGAAGGTCTACTTCCCTTGCTATGTTCTAGACACCCACATAGACTGGATGTCTAGAGAAAGGAAGACAGAAGTGACATGTGCCAAATTTGTTCATTGCTCAGCTGGGAACCAGAACTCTCTGACTGCAAAAGCATGTGAAGCCATTTCCACAATGGTTCATGCAGCCCAACTGGGAGTGCCCCCAGGTCTTCCATATAGTCTCTGCCAGTATGGGCTTCTATGGAATATTTGAGCACCGATAAAAACCTGATGTATAATCACTGATTAAAATCTTAGGGATTTAAGATTTACAATGACTTTACAATCTGTCTTTTCAAATATGTAGACCCCAGATCACTATTAACTTAGATGAATAGCCAAACTTCCCAAATTTTAGGTAAAATTTTGATGCAGGGATTTGCTTCAGCCACTAAAGAAATCTGTACGTCAAATTGCTTGAATTTACTGTGTTTTGAGCTCATTAAATCTCCCTTTGGGGTGAAATTTTTACCACCTCATGTGTGCAGTGGTACAGATTTTTGGCACATGTCTGCTTCTACTTACAACTGAGTGCTGTGCTCTCCTCTGCATTTTGATTAACTAAAAGAAAACTTCTCTAAATAATACCAAGTTATTGTTGTCTATAATCATTAGGTAAACAGACAGATCTATGACTTGGTTTACTGATAAAAGAATTCCATTCAAGCATTGGCAAAATGTCGCCGGCTATTTGTACATTGAAACATACCTCACACACCAGAGCAAGCTGTTATAAAACCCCTAATGAAGCATGCATCCTTTAATACACTGTTAACACATTTGCCTACAGACATCAAACACTCTGTGACGTACAAGTTCATTGGAAAAGAAGTGAATAGCATCCACAATAATACTCTGAATTCAATTCACCATTCCCATTGCATCTTGCTTATAAAAAGTTATGCCAGTGCTCAGCTGGAATGAAACTGGTGAATCTACACATTCTTCCTTATTTTAAACAATGGTTGTGAAGCAAAATAATTTAGGATTATTTAAATAGTTCATATTCAGATGTATATTTTAAAAAGAAAAGGAGGAAAGTGATTTTTCAGAAAAAAACAAACACAAAACAACAAAATTATCATGCAGGTGAAATACTTTCCATCAGGATAATGATGTTCATTATCCTAATGATGATTTGCAACAACTCTGAAACAAAATTAATATATTCCTTTTAGAGTTCTAACAAAATCTAGACCAACCTGTCTCTTTTGATACCTGAAGCCTTTTGTCATTACAAAATGCCCCTTGACCTCTTCTACCAGTGTATAATCGTTCTTCAGTGCAGTGGTAAATTACACCAAATTCAAGCTTTAAGATTTTGAAAAGGAAAGAAATGAATGCAACTCAAATTACTCATCATAAATATAAACAACTACTAATGGCAAAAAGATCAGCAATATTTTAATTGGTACACATAATAAAAATTACACTGATGCTAAAAAACTGGAATAATTTTACTATTACTGTGAGATATAGGTCATATAAAATTCAGTTTATAGAGAGAAGTTAATGCAATGTGTTCCTGATCCTCTAAATTCTTACTCACAGTTTGGTTCTGTTCACATTAGAATGGATTAAACACTGAGTTGTTTTCAAAAGTAATTGAAATGTTTTTACTGAAAATATGCAAGACCTCTAAGGCAAGACTCTGAATGCTTTGCTTTCACTGGTGAGCAGTTACTCCTTGAAGCAACCCCACTGACTTCGGCTGGACCACAAAGATCTGAGGCACCAGGATCAGTCAGGCATCCAAACTCAGGAGTCATGGCCCACTCTTTATTAACAGTGCACGCTTTTGTAGGCACCTCAGCTTTTGTGGTGCACTGAATTTGCCTGCCTTTTCAATCAAAGCAGTACACTCTAGTCACTTGGTCAAATCTTACTCTGCAAAATCCTTTTGTGAGGGTCTCCCGAAGTCACAGGACTCCAAGAGAAGGAGCTGGGACAGAAATACCCTCAATGAAAGCTTAAGAATGTGCAACAGTGGAATTTTTGTAGGGAGATTCTGTTTACCAATGAAAAGAGGGTCACACTTAGACCCTTGGTATTTAAAATTGTTATTACTTCAATAGGCTCCACCAAAAGACTTAAAAGCACTTTACAAACTTCAAGGGTCAGCTCTGAAAATAACTCCTAGATGAGTTATATTAGCATTGTTTAATTTAAGGGTACACAAAAATTAAGTGACTTGCCCAAGGTGTCAGAAGTTGGCCACAAGGTCAAGAAAACACCTCAGATGTTTTAGACTTCAAATCTTTTCCTGCTGCACTTGGTGTTCATCATCTGTTGTTCAGAGACAATTTAAAGGTAATAGACTGTCCTGGCTCCCTACCCTGAGGTCCCATCTAAACCAAGGGGTTTTTTTTTTGAAGAACACACTATTAATATACTCTTTCCCTAAAGACATCTGCAGGAATTTCTTCAAGGCTTATAATCAGGCCAGCTCCCTTGTGTGTACTTTGGCTCCTTTTCAGTTTACTTTTTTTTCTGCTTGTCCTATTTGGGAGATTTAACATAATTCTTTACTTTTGTTTCAGCTTTGTTTAGTTTACATAACCCAAAATATGCAGCATCAAAATCATGATGGTGTTTGAGAAAACATAAATATTAGAGAAAGCTGTCTGGTATTAAAATGTAGTGTTCAAAAGGACCTTTGGCAATGAATAAATTTCAGAAAAGCATGGAAGTGTTTCTCTGCAGTTTCCATGTTTGAAAAGTCTAACCAGACAAGTACGCAACATTATTCTGTTTAAATCAGTAAGAGGTACATCTGAAAACTTGGTTGTTACTGAATTCTTGCTGGCTTTGCTTAAAGCTATACATATATTTAAGATTGTGGAATTAGGCTGAAAGAGGCACATTCATTGGCAACTTGAGTAACTAGTTATTCCATAGATATATATCAAACTGTAAACCAGCAACATCTGGAGAAAAGGCACTAGAACAAATGAGTATAGCTAGGAAACTCAAAATGGCACATTGGAAGGCTAGGTACCTTCCCACCCTCACCATAATCAAGCTCTCATGTGGTAAATATATAACTATTTTACTACGTTAAGAAAAGTACAAATACAGATTGAATTAACTAGGTCCGTAATTTTGCACTCTTCATAAAATCAGTTCTACATTGACTCCTTGCAGGAGTTAGCTTTCACAGATACTGCTAGCAGGAAGGAGGTAATAATAATAACACAGGAGCACTGGGATATGTGTTTAAATTATGAAAACGCAGCACTAAATTGAACTTATGGTTTTGTCTAACTAAACTTGCTCATATCAGCACTTCCTTTTTCTCCAAATAAACACAGTAATACTTATAATAATTCATAGAATTCTCTTTAAATTGCCAGTTTGCATAAGTAAGTTTTGCAGGACTGTGATTTTAAATTATTAGAATACGATCAGATGCATTTAAAAAGTATAGGAAAACCTGAGTAGTGACTGATTTTTTTTAAATTTTTTTTTTTTTTATTTAAAGTTCCCACACAGTTTTGAGACTTCTAGCCAGCTTTCAGGTGCCCATCCTAAAGAACATATTTCATACCTCTTTGTTAACAGCAAATCCAATGCTCACTGCCACTGTTGGAAATCTGTGAAAAATAAGAAATTAAGTAATACTGATGAAAAATCTCTCAGCTTACTCCTTAAGCAACCCCCTTAGGCAACAAAGCCCCACATGGAGCCCCGTAAGTTTACTTTACTTGTCAAAATGTACTTGATATTATACTATTTCTCTTTTGTAGGCCTCCTTAACTTTGTCAATTCCTTTTAAAATGTAAGTTAATATTGGAGAAGGCAAGAAATAAACTCATGAAGACATCACAATTTTTACACTGAACATATAGTATATTTAGGGCTGGTTTTTGCTTTAGTGTAATTGAATTATCCAATGTAAAAGCACTGATGTTATAACAAGTCATTGGTTTTAAGAGCGCATTTTGTCCAAGCTGTGCATCTGAGATAGCAATTAAGTAGCATGGAGATACCTTGCTGCTGAAACCACAATAAAAAGAAACAAGTTCCTCTATGCTCTCCTTTTTCAAAGTGATGATCATGTATTTAATTTGGTCTGTTTGACTATTGTATAATTATTACATTTTAAACAATGAAATAAATTCATTTCTTAAAAACACATTTCAGAAAGCATTTTCAAAGTCCAGAAAATACTGCTAGAAAGAGGAAATTTCACTTAATTGTATGAAACATCACTACGTGGCATCCCCCATCTCCCCTGGAATTCTGTGTAATTGCACCAAAAATCAAGGAAATGATTAATTTTTGCTTTATGAAAGTTGTAGTTACTTTAAGCCGCTAACTATAAGGCAGGGTTTCTAAGCAGAAATATTATGAACAGCCATTAGTTTACAATGCCTCACACTTGAAAGGTGAATTAAAAGTTAATTTTTGCAGCAATGACCCCATGATTTCGTTCTGCGGCGGTGCTTTATAAATTCAGCACCAGTATCTCCTTGCAGCTCAGCTCTCACGCACGCAGTGGCCGCACTTCCCAGCAAAAGCGAGGCGCCCGTGTCTGACGCGGGGCGCGGGGCGCTCCTGGAAGGAACGTGTGGAACCCACACGAGGCGCTGGGCCAAGCGCCCTCACAGCACGGCCTTGTTCCCACGGCGCCGCTCGAGGCCCGCACCCTAACGTGCCGTGGGTGCGAGCGAGCCAAGGGCCGGGAGCCAAGGGCAGAAACGCCAGCTCACCCTCAGGTAACGGCACTAACGCGGCATCCCCCCAGCGCAGCCCACCAGGTACCAGGAGATAAAGGGATGGCTCCTTCGTGTGAGCCAAAGGAACGAACCCACCAGGTTCCTCTTCCTCAGGAGGAAGGGGGGACCTGTGAGAAGTTACATTTTGAGTTTTGATGTGTTTCCCAGGCCGCTGGCCACTTACCTGTGCACAAAGTTGCACGTTCCATCAACAGGGTCAATAATCCAGGTCGGACTGTCGGTGAGGACACATTTTGAACCTGCAGCAGTGGATTCTTCTGCAATAAACCTGCATGTGGTGCAAGGGTAAAACAAGTATCCCAGACCATTAGCTTAGATGCGTGACTTGGAAAGTACAACCCCATCATTCTTGTTTTTAAGAGAGAACTTCTCCCTCTCTCAATAAAACATTCTTGTATAAATGTAAACGCACACACTGCTTTTTAAATTTAGGAACTGGTAACTTTCATAGAGACTTTGAGGGAGAGTTCTTGAATCTACAGCATACTATTTTATGTCAAAAAAAGAACTCTATGTACACTTTCCCAATATACCATTAAGGAAGCCATGAAAATGAATGCAGAAATGGATCTGAACTGGTATCCCTGGAACTCAAGGAGATTATTTTATGCAGAATATAATTTTACGGGCTAGGTCTGTCTCTTGCAGTAAGTAATATAAACTGCAAACTGTACCTGCTTCTCTTCTGCAGTCAGATTAAGTCAGAAGAAAATAATACACTCTTAGAAAATTCACACTCTTGTTCATATTTGTATTTTTTACAGTAATCTGACTCAGGAAATCAGGTTTACAAAGCTGGACTTTCTTTTTCCCATGACCCAGAAAAAAATAAACAAATTATTTTTTGTTTGTTTGTTGTTTGGATGCACAAGGCACAAAATGAAATCTGAGATCATCTTCTCTTCTGTTGTTCTGTCCCAGTTTCTTTTAGTAGTTTTTTCCTTCTTTTTCCCTGGGAAACGAACATCTAGTTCTGGCACATTTCCTGTCGACCTTAATTATCCCTGCTTTCCCATAAATTGCCCAACGTCTCTTTCTGTAAGAGATGTGTAGGTGCTACTCTCACAGATTTTCATAAAGCCCTATATGTACAGAAGGAGTAGAATCCAACTGCTAGTACCAAATCTTGCTGGTGGTTTCACATTTTTCACATTTGAACAGCTGGGAGTGATATTCAGAGTTTCTGGAAATGCTCGAATACAAAAAGCTTCTCTCAAAGACACAAAGAGGAAAAAAAAAAAAAAGGATAAAGTAAAGTGAGAATGTCTTTTGCAAAAGAGTCCATCCCTAGGACTAGAGTAGCAGCTATTCTATTTTGTGTCTTCAACCTGTACCTCAAGATTCCAGATACCACACGAAACCATGAGTTTAAAATGTTCTGCAGACAGCACAGGAGGAGGCTTCTTGAATTTTCCAAATGCTCAACCTAAATAGAAGCAGACTATTTTGATAGTATTATAGACCCCCAGCTGGTACGAAGATGGAATTAGGAAGTGTTGGTTACTATTTTTATCTCCATTAAATGAAACAGCTGAAGGACAAAGTGTTAGTGCACAACTGAGAAACAAGAAGGATTTGAACAAGTGTTTGAAACTCTCAGTTTAATATAACACTTTGCAGGCTCCTTGCTTTAAATATTCCATTATTTAGTCTTGTTGTTGCTGTATCACTTGGCTTTAGCTTTCACAAAACCTGTAATCAGCATCCAAACCCAACCATGCCTTGTCTATGCTGCTGAATGCAGAGGAGGTTCATCTTCTTGTAAGTGAAGCACCTTACATCCCAACGCAGATTATCCATATTCCATATTAATTATACCTCTGCTTCAACCCTCTGCCAGTTCCCCCAGCTGGAGCTTGACCTATAGCTGCTGTCTTGCCAGTCAAAGAAAGATGAAACGAGAACCTCATTAAAGACAGGAGTATTTCTGTGTAAGAGATTTGCCCTTGAGTATTGGGAGCCAGTCCCTCGCCTTTCTCTCACAGTGGGGGTGTGATGCTGCAGTCCCTGAGCTCAGAAATGCTAACCTTGAGCTGGGGCACAGCAGTGCCACTGATAAAATCTTCATGCTCAAGAGCAATTTTTCCAAAACAGATGTGGAACAAATTAGGTGCACATTTTATAAAATCTGGGCTAATGGGTAGCAAAAAAACCCTTGCTGCTATACAACACTGGGAAATGTGAGAGTCCTGCAATTCACCTCAGATGTCTTGCTCTGTGTCCTGTAGAAACCTGCAAACTAAGCAAAACACTCTGTGTGAAGTACTGGAATAAATTCTAGGAACAGCTTGAGAAGTGGGAGGGGTAGCCACCTCATTAAAATAGTTAATTTAACATTCCAGCCTGCCAGCTCCTCTGACCTCTGCTCAAATCTGGATTACAGTTTATTCCCACTGAAAATGAGTCTAGTAATTTTAGCCAAGCCTTAGACTACATTTGTTCACGGCACGGGGCCACTCTGAAATTTACTGCAGGAACAGCAGAGAAGCTGTAACCTACCATAATCTGCAGCAGGAATTATATCCAGTTGAGTACAGGATGGGGCTGCCCCTTACCTACACCCATATGGGGATTTGAGGACAGAATGATGGGAAGCTTGAGTTGGATGTCACCCTCTCAAACTCCTGTATCCTGATTTTAATGCCTTTAATAAAGGCCACAAGGAACACAAAAGATGGCAGGTTGTGTAATAATAGCATGGGTAAATGTTGGGATAGCCTTTTGCAACCAGTAGCCCCTGGAAGTCTGGCTATGCCTACCCACAACTCAGGATCTATCTGAAAAAATATCCTTTAGAAAAGACTCACTGGGGGCACATCAGAGTACTAAAAAGTGAGCAAAGATTAAAAGTTGAGTGAAGTGTGAATGAAGATGATACATTCCACTTAACCAAGAGGAGAGAAGAAAAAAGAAACACTGGGACAGAATTACTTTTTGAATGGTTTTCCGAGTATTTCTCTTTACTTCTGAGTACACTTCCAGTATCTCAAGACTCCTAAGTGCCTCAGTGCAAATGGCAGATTCTAATAAGGTCCCTTTTAATTCTTCTAACACCTGAAGTCTGTTTTTGTTTCATAGGACGTAAGAATCAAGATGATTTAGAAGAAAAAGAAATAACAGAAATCTTCATTGCTGCTTTCAACAGCAGGTTACGGGAAAGACTGAATACAATATAAATGATCCTTTAATATTTTCACTGTACTTTAATTTAGCCCCTGACTGCTATTGTAGACTCCTCATTGCACATGTTTTAACCTAGTCTAGTTAAATTTAGTTTTTATCTATTGCTTAATCTAAACACATTAATTATCTGAACAAATTCTAAGCAAACCCAACAACCCCTATCAACAAAATTGTCTCGAAGAAATGGCAGTTCCATCATTTACTTATAAAGTCAGAAGTTAACTGTACAGAGTTGATAAAATCTGGGGTTTTTCCAGTTCCTAGGCCTATGCTGACCTTTTGTTCCTATTCTGAGTGTGTCTGGTGATTCGCATTTTATGGGAAATGTGTAGGTTTTATGTTCTCTGCCAGACTGCTCAAGGAAAAAAAAGCTAATGTAAGAGTGGAGATGAGAGAAGAGCACAGCCAGCAATAGTAGAAGGAATATTACACAAATAATAGACTTGTAAAGCCTGGCACTCTCTTTTGAGAATTGCAGCCAAGAACCACACATAATGCTGTACAACATGCTATCACATACAGCATGTATTTAGAAAGCCATATAAAATAGTATAAAATATGCTTTCTGCTCCTTCTTATGGTGGTGGTTTTTTGCCCAGCAGCATCTTGGACAATCAGATAAGTAGCTGAGCCCTTCAGACTTTCCTCTTTGTTCATTTCTGCACAGTGCTAAAATGCAAGGCTCATTCCCATCAGAGATGCCCACAGTTAGAAGGGAGTCAGACACTATTTAAGGGATACACAGGCCTTGCACTGGCTCTGCAGGAAAATGAATTTTATCCACTGATGTCAAATGTAGAAATCAATGGCAGTCTCCGCATCGAACCAAACCTGGCAAACTAATACAAACCCTCTCTCTAATCTGTGCATGAGCTGAGTTGTTATTTTCAAGTCAACCACAATAATTCAAGAGGAATTGACAACCTGATCTACTTTTAAAACCTTGGGTTTGCACCCCACGTAGTAATTTATAGCCTGTTTATGAGTAGGCATCAAATAATGATGATGATGACAAACAGCCCTGCTTCTCACTGGTCTTACTATAGAACACAAGGTAAATATCATTTAATACACTTTTACCTCTCCTGATCTGGCAAATGCATATGTGTGATGGCAACAGGAAAGGTCAGCAGGGTGGGACCTTAGCTAACATATATTTCTGCTACATTTTTATAGATAGCATTAGCATAATTCTTATACAGTAGGCAACAGACCAGTATTCTGAACATCATGGAGATCCACATGAAACCTTCATCCATGATGTCCCTACAGGGGAAACATTGCTGTTAAGTACATATATTGAGAAACATAGAAAATACAAAGTACTAAGTATAAAGAAATGGTACTTTTTAAAAATAGGAGTCCTATGAAAATGTCTAACAGAAATTGATTAATATGTAAGAAAGATACAGAGACATAAGAAAGATACACAGAATTTTAAAGTTCCCTTTAAATACCAATCAGATATGCAGCATGTAAAGGACAAAAAAAGGTCACTGATAGTTTCTATAGACACTCACCTGTGGGAGGGAAACTTCTCTTTCAGAACAGAAATAATTAAATTTTCCACAAAATGATCAGTTTCTGTCACGAGATCTGCTGCAGATGTCTTTGTGGACACTTGTTTTTCCTCTGTTAGAGCTTTCCTAATAATCTGAAACAGAAGTTCATAAATCAGATTTGTTGGGCAGTCAGCCTGTGCATACTAAAATAGTATCTTCACTGAAAAATATATAGCTAATACTGAAAAACAGCTGTAGGCCTAATTCTACCAGAGGCTGTTCTAATTTTTTGACAAAAAATATTTCTGAGCTAATGAGCATTCTTTGGGAACACAGCATTTTGAATCACTGCAAAAACCTCTCTTGACAGTTTAGAAAAGGATTAAGGCATACAGCTAAAGGAATGAAAGGATGTTGGTAGTCATCATGATTTAGAAAATTACCAAAAATATACACAAGATAAGAAAAAGCCTCAAGGCTCAGGCATTTTTCAAGGAAAGCCCTTTTTATTTACTTTTTTTTCAATTATTTTTTATTTTTTTATTTACAGGGCCAATACACCACTGTTCTCTTACTTTAAAAGATATGCGATATGGAAAATATAGTGGGTTTCCATTTTGCCAACAAAGACACATAGTTTTTTTGGGGGTTTTTTGTGGGCTTTTGGAACTTTAAATGCTGGCCACCCTCTGGCTCCTAAATAATTGCCATGTATTTAACAAGAACAAAAATTGAAGCTTTCTCTAGATATGAAACCAATGATTTAAACTGGAATTCTCTTCTGGAAATGTCTTTATCTGATTCTCCAGGGTATTACTGTTACAAACTCAAGTACAAATTCACATATGGGAAAACACTTAATGAAAGCTTTTCTCCATTTTCCCCTATTTTCTTTCTGGTTTTTTTTTTCCATCTTCTTCATTAAAAAGCAAAATAAAGGGACAGGATGAAAAAGGAGATTGCTTATTTTTTAATCAGTGAAAATAATAAATTGTTTGAAATTAACAAAAAACCCAAAACAACAAAACAAAGCAAAAATTTTGCTCCACTTATTTGTTTAGAATTATGGTATTAAACCCAGCAGCAACAGGGTCAATATTACAAGTCCTGTCTAAAATTTATATATTTCAGTTTCTTAACTAAATTTCCGTTGATCAAAGCATTTTAAAACCATTGAGAAATACTTGATAACCAAATAAAACAGTTCTGCTGCATTATGCATGGGAAAGGGAGCCAGAAACTCCCAAATGTCATCTCAGCTCTTGGTTTTCATAGTATAAAATACTATATTTAAAGGGTGTGCTAATTGTTCTGACAAGTAATGGATGTGGCTGACTATTGCCTTAGTATAGAAGGAATCTGGACTAATGTTTCTGCTCAGTGGGCTGTAAAACATCACTTGTGCCTATTTACTGAGCTTGTGAGGCCAGGTAGTACTTTTCAGTTTGAGGTCTTGCTAAAGTTCATTACTGTATCTCAAAATATTAACCACACCTTATCTTTTTACTCCTCTCAATGCCTTGTGTGGTTGTCTTGAAGGATTTACAATGGAAGCATGAAAGTGTAATTCCAGCAAGGCCCTTGGGCTCTTTTTCAGCCCAAAGCAAAATTCAAAACACTCTAACCACACTTAGCTGTGTATTCTAAAAAAACTGCTATGCTGATACCCTTTATTTTATTTGTTCTTCTTTACTTTCCTATTGTCTTTACTGATTGGAACTTGACAGTGAAATAGATGAAGAATGCTCTCCTTTTGACAGAGAAGGTTTTTAATTTCTTCTAAGCAATGCCACGTCTTGTCTTCTATTCGGTTTTACTGCTTAGTAGATCGAGATTTTTGCAGCCATTTAAATCAGTGGCACTGCTCAGCAGGGCAGTGAGATCATACATGAGTCTTGCTGGAAAACAAAAAATGGAGATGAAAACTCTCTGCTGTGGATGTGCTCTGCAATCAGCTGATGTCATTGCAAGCTTGAAAACTTTATCTCTCCAGTCTGAGTACAACCCTTTGCACACCCCAGCTTCAAATTTAGTATTTTTTCATTTCTCATCTTTTACCCAGTTGCTCATGACCATTTTTAACTTTAACCTGGTCTGTTTCTCTGGTGGCCATTCCAGCCACTTTGGAGGTGGGAGTAGCCAAGGGTGTGCCTGCACTACGAAGTGGTGGCTGACAGTGCTCTCACCTATCTCCTCTGCGGGCCCACAACACGCATTTAGCATTTAGCAGCCCTGCAATGTGCTGCTTTTCCCCTCCTCTTGTGCAAGTGATATGTCAAGAGGAGAGAAGTCATGATGCTGGGCTGAGATCACCAGCCACAAATGGGCACCACAGCTGTGGAGACTCGCCCACAGCACGCAGGACGGACGGCTCTGGTTCTGCCAATTCTCTGCCACTTACAAAGGGCTTGACAAAACGGACCCCTATGCATTTGCTCCAGCTTGTACAGGTATGCAATCCAAGCCAGAATAGCCCCATATAAGAATCACACTTCCTGCATAATTGATGAAAAACTTTTATTCTTTGGAAAATTATCAAACAGCTCAGAGCAGTGTAGAATTCAATTTCTGTGGAAAAATCCCTAAAAGTCACCTGCCTACAAAGGAGTATTTAGAGCCTGCTGCCTCAGAATATTTTGAGAGTGTCACTCAACTCCTCTCCTGCAGAAGCCTTACAAAAAGGTTTGTGGATACCTGCTGCAATTGCCTGGCCTTTCCAGATGGACATGGGGCTCCATAAAAGTCTCACTCTAGGTTACAGGCAGCAGGTAAGCAGAAACGAAAGGAACTACAGGATGATGAAATGAAAACAGCTGATTGCACCTTATCCCCATTGTACAATGAGACTGGCAATCAAGATGCTGTAATTTGGCTGTAAATGTACTTTACTAGACTTTATTCCTGTACTAGGGCTTGTCCCTAGATTACAGAGATTTTTCAGCAATTTCTAAGCAACTGATTTTTGGGAGCATGGTTATTTAGAGCAGAGCCATTTAACACTCTTAGCCCATGCTGCCCCTCCTCTAATGCAGATCTTATCCTAATACCCTGCTTGGGAGCTTTTGGGGGGTTATGCAAAGCAAGGGGCATTTACATCATTACATGGAGATCACATCACAGAGCTGTCCCTGCTCCCTCCTTCATTTCCTGTGGAGCAGAGGAAATGGAGACACTGGGGCTCAGTGCAGTCAGTCCTGGACTCTTCCTTTTCTAATGCCTTGGTTAAATTTATTCCAACAGAGGAGAATGAAGAAGACAGAGGGCCAAGATGCCTTTTCTCCCAATACTTGAGAGCCACCTACAGCAGTGCGCTCATGTCAGCTATTTCATTTCGCCATACTGCTTGCACTCACCATATACTTCTGGGAGCTCCAAGATGGATTTTCTTGCTTGCAATACTGTCCTGAAATATTTGCCCACTGATAAAATCAAATGTCTAGATAAAAAGCAGTAATTCAGGGAATTCCAATCTGGTTTGCTAAAACATCTGTTCATGTAACATAGAAAATAGCCTAAAAATTTCCCCTGGGAGCAAATAACAGGGGAAAAAAAACTTGGCTTTTTAGAATACCAGTGAAAATTTTGTCTTTTTTAAAAAAGTTATTTATTTATATATTTCTAATTTTTTTTTAGTGGTATTCTGCTAGGTCTCTTATGTCTCATAAAAGTATTTTCCAGGAAAAAAAAAATAAAAAGAAAACAATGAGAGAAAAAGAAAAGACAAAGTTTGGACTTCAGCATACTGTGTCCTAATGTCAGTTTCTTACTCTTATTTTTACCTGGATGCATATTTACTCATTTTGGCGAAGCTTTCCCAATTCTGCAATTGGAGAGAACTGTGCTGGTATTGCTCAGTGCTCTCAACATCAAAGATACACAGACTGGTCATGACTGCTTTTCTTGAGCAAAGTCATATCAAACCTATGGGTGTACTCTCATGAACAGAGCAAGCAGCTTACTCACAGAAAAAAAAAAACAAAAGAGAAGTTTGAAAAAGTGTAGTTATTTGTGGCCTTATAGAGTGAATTTTAAAGCAGGTCAATTACAGATGTTACAAAACCATGACCATTCTCGTTATGAAACAGCCATACATATATTAAATGAGAGCCTGTGATATTCCATGAAAGTAATAATAACTGAAGAACAGGATGGGCAAGAAAAGCAATGATTTTAACCCAGTAATAGAGGTTACTCTAGCAACAACACTTTCAACACATATTCAAGCATCATTTCTTTATTGGCCTTTTAAGTTTAGAAGAAACTATTCCAGAGTATAGATGCCTATCTTTTGGAAAGAACCTACAGTCATAAAAGACAATGCAATGCAAATCAATAAGCCAAAAGGGGAGACCAGAAAACTGTATTACTGGTTAACTTCTCCTAGAAATCCAAAATCTGGAAGTGCACATCTTTCTTTGGGCCAAGTCTCTTGTAGACATTTTCTAATGATTCCAACCCTTCCTAACCTGCCACAGTCCTGAGAAAGGGAGCACCTTAGAAAGGGAAGCAGCAAAGTTTCATGCTGGGATGGATACTGGAGCTGGATCTGGGGAGACAGAGAGTGCAAGATTTCTGGGGACAGAGGTGAAGGTGGGAAGATCTGGGGAATGGGAAGAGAAGCAGAAGAAAAAGATGAACTTGACTAGTGGAATCGACTGCTTTTGGTGATCCAAATAACCCCCATTTTTATAAATTTTCAATAAAAACCCAGTCCTACCAAACGCATGTTACACTGCACTTTTTGTCCTTAGCTCTAGTTTATTTTGGCAATAGCTGGAGGCAGACTGACACTTAAATAAAAGATACAGCCATGCCATACCTGCACCTTTTCCTCCAGAAGGTGCCTTTTGTAACAAAAAAGATTCCTTAACATGACCAAATAATTGGAAAAAAAAAAAAATACCCAGTTTCCAAAGTCCTATTTAAACAACATCCTTGTCTGGTTTAAATTCAGCCTGACAAGGAATCAGAATATTTCCTGTCATTTACAAGGTAGCAATGGCAAACTGCGATTCTGGATTCAAGGATTAGTCTTATGGAATGTTTACATCTTCCAGGAAAAGGTGCTCAGCTGTGATTTACTGAGCAAGGGAAATGATTGGGGAAGCTTAAAGCTGCCTTCACAAAATGGTATTTTGAGAAATAAGGTGTGGAGGCTTGAGCAAGTAATGAGTCTCTCTTGTGAAATGGCTGGCAGAATGAGTATGCTGGAGAAACTCCTGTTTTGAGAGTCTCTGAGAGCATGACCTGTCATCCTGATTTGGATTATCCATTTAGTCCCTGTATTATTAAAACAAGTCTCCTCTCCTCTGGCATTCTGTTCATCTGTGCAGTTGTTTTTTACTAAGGAGAAAATTATGTTTAATAACACACACTAAGGAAAAGTTATGGGTCTTGGACTCAAGATACAAAAGGGGGTTTCTTAAATCACAAGGTATAGGTACGAAGTCCATTTCAAAATAAAGCAGAATGGAAACATGAGAGAAATATATTTAATAATTGTTGAGGTTTGTGTTTTATCCAGTTTCTCAATCAATTGGCTGATCCCACTTCTTAGCTCTGTTAGACATGGTGGAAGTTTTGCTGCTGCTGCACAGAGTGGGGTCAGGATATCTGAGATGTCTAACCTGCTTGTCAAAGCAAGTATCCGAAATAAGCTACTACAGCCCTTCACCACACGGTTATTTGTCCCTAGCAAGTGAATTTCGGCCACTCTGAAGACTGCCAGATCTAACAAGAGAAAACCTCCTTGACACGGTTATTTTTCTCTACACAAGCTGCTGGAAAACAAATGCTGGCACCGAAGGATGCAACCTCCGAGGGCTGGGGCCTCCCAGGGAAGGGGCCCCCCGAAAGGATGCAACCCCCGAGGGAAGCACCCCCGAGGGCTGGGCCCCCCCCTGCCCCGGGATGGGGCCTCGAGGGAAGCGGCCCCGCGGCACGAG